TTGGAGCAGCCGTTTCCGAGAAAACATCATCCAAAGATATTCGTCCATTTTCAATTTTCCTAAATTACCTCAGTGAATCTCGTAAATAAAAATAACTTTTTTAGCTCTCTCTAAATAATTGTAGTTCAAATGTCGTGGTGGGACTATTTTTATTTAATAATAAGAAACGGTTTAAAAAAATATTTATTCTAAAAAAACAAATAAAAAAAAATTAAAGCAGATGCTCAATGTGGCGACCATTGGTTTCCACACACAAGCGCAACCGTCGCATCATAGACTGTCTTACACGAAAAAATACTTCAGGATTATTCCTAAGAACTTCGCAATGATGAAAAACTCGTTCTTCCAATTCTTCAACTGTTTCAACAGGACTGGAATAAACCAATGATTTTAAATAACCCCAAACAAAAAAATCCATTGGATTTAGATCTGGTGAACGAGGTGGCCAGTTAACAGGACAACCTCTGCCAATTACTCTACCCTCAAATCTTTCGTTAAGGTGCTGTCTAGCTTCAAGGCTGTAATGTGGTGGAGCTCCATCATGCATAAACCACATGTTATGTCTGATTTGAATCGGAATATTATCAAGAAGCTCATGTAAGTTATTTTCCAAAAAAAGCCTGTATGCTGCTCCATTTAACCTATTCGGCAAAACAAATGGTCCAATAAGGTAATTATCAATAACTCCAGCCCAGACGTTTATTGAAAATTTATCCTGATGGTGACGTTCAACAACCGCGTGAGGGTTATCTTCAGCCCATTCATGCATATTTCGAAAATTTATTATACCATCTCTAGTGAAACCAGCTTCATCGGTAAATAGCACTTTATTAAGAAACATTGCATCTTGATTACATCTTCCAAGAAACCATTCAGAAAAGATAACTCGCGGCTCTAATCAGTAGCTTTAAGTGCCTGAACTTTTTGAATGTGGTAAGGGTACAATTGTTGTTCACGCAAAACTTTCCATACCGTGTTACGTCCGACTCCCACTTCTGAAATTAAATGAGAGAATCTGTGTAGTGAATAGTTAAGAAAGAGAATCCATTGATTTGGGAAATCAGATTTTTTCTGCATAACGCAACTCTTTTCGATACGAAAAGTCGTGAAATGTAAGAGAAGCAATAACAAGTAAAAAAACTAGTTTTATACGATAAGGTACGGGGTAGCTAAAATAATAAATAAGTAATTACTTACCATTTGCTATTTTTCTGGTACTTGTCGATGGGGTTTCAGCTACCCTATCCAAAATTGCTTCTTCCAAAGCAGGAGTTCTCACATAATTTTGTCTTCCACTGTTACTAGAGTTTTTCTTAAATGTACCAGTTTCCCGAAGTCTATCGTCAATTCTAGAAAACGTCTTAGCGCATGGAAGATGCCTATTTGGAAAGCGCTCCTGATAAAGTCTGCGAGCTTCATTGGCATTTCCAGAAGCGAGTCCAAAACATAAGTGCATGTCCGTCATTTCGCCGAATGTGTAATCATTATTGTAGTTATTGTGAGCCATTTTAAACAAAATAATAACAATACAACGAATCGCACCAGAACACTTTTAGAAATAATGTTTAACTGAAGAAACATTTTTATCAGTGAGCGAAAAAAATTATCCATGAAACACAAAAACGCCAAAAAAATACATATTTTTACTTTTTTATTCTAAACAGCTAAATACAAACCTTATGGTCTTCATAATAAATAAATGGGAACTAAATTTTTAAATTTTATTTAGAGAGCTAAAAATAGTATACAGGGTGATTGATTAGTGTGAGGAAGCTCTGTAGATCTGTTATAATAAAAGTAGGCAGCTTTAAGCTTCACATTTTAAAATTAGTTACGATGTGACAGGGTGTTTCATAAGGCCGTGCCAAATCAAAGTTATTTTTTTTAAATGGAACACCCTGTATATTTTTATATTTTTAGAATCTGCTCGATAATCTGATTTCAATGATATATCACACTTGTTATCTAATATGAATAGTAAAGGATCTACAGCTACTCAAAAATCACATTTTTTCAAATTCAGGTGGCTGTTGTAGCCAAGCAGTTGGAAATCGAGGAAAACGGCTTACAGTCCCTATCCTAACTTTTTAAGGTCTATTCAGTGACATAAAATACATATTATTTGATACAGGGTGATCAAAAATCCAAAATCACATCCGATTTTTGATCACCCTGTATCAACTAATATTTTTTGCCACTGAATAGACCTTCAAAAGTAAGGATAGGGACATGTAAGCCGTGTTCCTCGATTTCCAACTTTTTGGCTACAACAGCCAAAATTGAAAATTAACCTAAACTGCACGAATATCTTTGGATGATGTTTTCTCGGAAACGGCTGCTCCAATCGAGATCAAACAAGTATTCCTTTTTGACGTAGTTTTCAATGTAGAATGTAAAAAAAAATATGGATAAGTCATTACCAAAATCACAAAAAAGTTATGAATAATCAAAATTTTCGAAAAATTCCCAAGTACACCCCTGACGAAATAATTTCTTTTTGAAGGTGTCAAAAGGTCACTATTATTGATCATATTTAACAGCCAAAATTTGGTTCTTTTATTTGTTTCCATTTTTAAGAAAATTCAAAAAATCAAAATAAAAAAAATGATTTCGAGAGGCTGTTGCTCGCTTAGGGGGCACTTTAGGACATAGGTCTATAGGAACTTTTTTTCCATTTTTTGGTTAAGGAATCTGCCTGAGAATTTTGGGACACATTTTAAAGGACACCCTGTATAGTTAACGGCAAACATTTTCTTCCTCTTAACATCGCACAAAAACATCTACACACGATTAGTAGGTAAAAATCATTAAAAATATGAATCAATTTTTGCTGATTTAATAATTTATTTGTATGCCTAAAAAAACAAACATCTTTATAGAGATGTCTATTTGACATTTTTAAAAAATACAGGGTTCTTCAAGAATGTGATACATATCAAAATTAGGTTTTTTAAATGGGACACTTTATTTTATATTTGAATTGCCCTCGCTTTTTCGATTATAACAATTAAATAGTATGAGATACAGAGTATACGCTAATACCAATTTTACATGAAAATCGTATTGATCTCAATGGCCTGTATACTGCAAAAGAAACAATTGAAAACCAATCATTTGTGGTAAAAGATTTTCGATATTAGTCAAATACCTACATACTTTTCTCATTTTGTTTAATTGAATGTTATATCACCAGCAACTTTTATTTGACGAATTTTTTTCTTCAAGCGTAAATAACATAATATTCCTTAAAGTAGAAAAACGACTCTCTATAAAGTTCCGAATATGCCCAAAATCTAATCAACTCATTAGAGACACAAACACCTACATATACGTATGGCCATATTTGTGACATTCATGCATGAGAGATATTTTTGGCATCAAGGTAGTTTTTATATAAAATCAAAATCAAAACAAAAAGAAATTGGGATATATACAATTTAATGTACGCTTATTAACCCTCCAACTAGAATGAAAATATATAGTGCTGTGCGTTCTATATTATACTCTTCACAGTTTAACAAACCCCCTTAACCCTCCATTTTTATTCCATTTTTGTTCAGAATCAATAGGTTTTATCCCCTTATAGAGTTTGATTTTTACTAAAAATTTTTAGTTGATATCGCTTTTCTGTTTTTATATCTGGCTTTATTTAAATTTTACCCATCTAACTACTCCATTTTTACTTTCCTATCTGTATATAAGGAAAGTATAGGAATCATGATTTTTTTCGACCTCGAGTTTTCGACGGATTTTTACGTTTTGAGGTCCCCTGAATCAGTTTTGACTATTTTCGCGATGATGTCTGTGTGTGGTCTGTGTGTGTGTCTGTGTGTCTGTATGTCGCATAACTCATGAACCGATACACAGAAAAACACCAAATTTTAAACTTAAGCTTTATTCCAGCGTCTAATGAACTGATTTGATTTTGGGCAGAGTCGGAACATCTGGGGGGTACTTTATAGGTGGCCTTTTTTATATTTTATGGAATATATCTGTTATTTACGTTTGGAGAAGAAAATAAAAGTTACTTCTAATATTATTATCCTAAAATGGTCCGTATTCGAGAAATTTGACAAAATGTAAAAAAAATATTTTTTTATAAAAATTGTTCAAATAAAAGTTGTTTGTAATATAATTCTCTATAATTTTTATTCTACACATAATTTCTCTAAAATGGACCGTATTCGAGATACTTGAGAAAATGTGTAAATTTCGAATTTTCAAGAAAACTCAAAAACGGATAAGGAAAAAAAAAAAACATTATATTTTAAACCTAACTTACTTCTATTTCGGCTGACGTGAAATGATTAGATTTTGGACAAAGTCGGAACATCGGGGGGGGGGGGTACTTTATGGGAGGCCGTTTTTATATTTTATGGAATATATCTGTTATTTATATTTGGAGAAGAAAATTGTTCAAATAAAAGTTACTTCTAATATTATTATCTATTATTTTGCTTCATGTCAATATTTCCTGAAATGGTCCGTATTCGAGAAATTTGACAAAATATGCAAAATTCTGATTTTTATGAAAATTGTTGAACTAAAAGTTGTTTGCGATATCGATCTCTAAAATTTTTGTTTATACATGATTTTTCTAAAATGGACCGTAATCGAAAAGTGCTAAATTTAAATTTTTCAGTATTTTCGTTTTCAATGAATATCTATAAAAAAATGTTTCGAGGTAGATGTATGTGGAAAATGTATATATTTAGCTTATCCTCTAAACATTTATAGAGGTGCTGCAATAGGTTGTACAAAATAACCAGAAAACGTCTATAATAACTAGATAGGAAAGTCATGTGTTGGACACATCAGATTATTTATATTAAAAACACGCGTGCGAAACCTATATTATTGAATAATGATATTAAATTTTAAATACTTTTTTCGAATTTGCAACAAAAGTTGAATTCCCCATAATTTTTATAAAAGCAAAAACGATATAAAAGTCCGATACTCTTTATCTTTTTATGCACGTAAAACTTTTATGTTTCTAGGTTGTAGTAAAAGAAGAATGGATAGCCGTAGCAATATTAAGGTTTATTGAAAACGAAAAATGCGTAGTTGAAGGAGCTGGAGCATGTGGACTGGCAGCTATATTGTCAGGTCACTTAGATGAATTTAAAGGAAAAAGGTACTTTTATACTTTATTATTGTTAATAGGTAGTTTAAATTACAAATGGAAATCGAAATAAAAGCCACTATTTTTATTTTATTATGATATACATTTTTTACCGAATTTTTTATTATTTTCTAATAGTTTGTTTTATTTCAGAATTGTACTGATTTTGAGTGGCGGTAATATTGATACAACTATATTGGGCCGATGTTTAGAGAGAGGTTTAGCGGCAGATGGTCGACTAGTTAAATGTAAAATAACCGTAAGTGACAGACCTGGAGGAATTTCGGAGTTATGCAAACTTATGGGATCAATCGGAGTATCAATTAAAGATATTATTCATGAACGAGCTTGGGTAACATCGGATGTTTTTAGTGTAGAGGTAAGTTCAATTTAAAATATCGATGACAAACCAAATTAAAGAGTAAATAATAGTTTGTGCGGCACGAGTGGATTTGACTATATCTATATCTCACGAATATCCACATCCAATCGAGTTGTACCTACACTGTATTTTTTCTCTATGGCCTCTATTGAAAAAAGAATTCTTTTTATTATAAAAATTATACAAAAAAGAGAGGCTACGGGGATGCATGACCCCTCATGGCTCCCTAACTGGAGGTACATAAGATCAGAGGTAAATTATAAATAACATTTAAATTTGAGACACCGTATTTAAACGTCTGTCTTAGACTTTTCTCTCTTTCACTTTTTAAAAAGCAATAAAATGAAACAGAATGTAAAACGCTTAGGTATGAAAATGCATCGTCGTATTGATGGACTTGCGCGTCGTCTTTAATACGGATCAGTGGTGTTGGCTGTATATTGTAACATGTAGATCGTGGTATTTATTTTATTTATTTTACGTTTGAACTTATTTAAAATTGAATCGGGACCCACTCTGTATCAAAACTCCCAGACAGCACACCAAATCCTTTGGATATCTACTGAACATCCCAATATCCACTGAATGTCCAGTCCATGGTGGGATATCTATTTTATATCCATAAAATGTAATTTATAGACATGCAAATGTGCATAAATAATAGTAATTATATAGCAAATTACAGTTCATCAAATTTCTAGAGGCTTTCGACGGCTAGACAGAGAAAGCACTACTGACAGGCATCCCGACGGATTTACGCAATGAAAGTACACTCTGCGCATCAAGTATTTCACTATTTCATTCAGACGTAAATGTCAGATGTAAATTTCGCTAAAACATTTCTTTTATTTTCGTTTGTGTTTTTTGCTCATTACAGTTTAATAGAACCTAAGTATGGAATTAATAGCAAATTAAGAGGCCGCGTGATTAACAGTCAATCTCGCGAAATAATAGCCAATGTTATAGAGTTAATGAGAAGAGAAGGAAACTTTAATTCACCTTCAATACCATTTAAAAATGTAAATGATCGTGTTGCTGCAGCCACAGGAGTATCTAAAAACACTGTCGTCCGCATTTCTGGAGAGAAAAAAAGAATCGATAACCGTGAGATATCGGAATTTTCATCACCAAGAAAAACAATTAAAAAACCAAAAACAGTTAATGATATAGATGAAGCTGCACAAGAATCAAATTTTATTTTTTTATTATTAGATAGCTATTTTTGTTTCTGAGTTGTGTTCATTTACAGGCTCAATTTTTTTCCGTTTCTCCTTTTTGATTTTATATGGGGTTTCAAGTTGTTTTTGACTTATTTCGACGTAAATCACAACAACACACTTTTTTAATAAAGCAAACCAGTGTTAAGAGGCATATGTACGTGTAAACTACAATTACAAAAAATTGATATGAAACCCATGAAACCACCAACAAAAATGTAAAGCTAGCTTCCGTACTAGAACATGGTGTCATTCGTCGAGATAATTTATCGTTTTGTTTAATAGATCAAGAAATGTAAATATTCCCCTGTTATTTTTTATAAAATTATAAGAGAAATAAATTTTTTTCTAAATAGTATAGTTTATTATTTTGTAGAAAAACAAAATTTCGAAAATTTTAGTAATGTTTCAGAAACAACCGTTATTAATAATAGGTACCATTTTCCTTAATAAGGTAGAAATAAAATATAAACTATTTCCACGATTTACAAAGGCCTACAAAAAAATTATAGGTATTTTCCGCTATCCTATAAAATTTATATTTTCTGACTCAATTTCAAAAGGTTGAAGGAATTCCAAAACACCTTTTATGGCATAATAATTATTTTCAATTCTACATACTATCTTTAGCTGCTTTTAAAAACGTTCTAAGAAAGTCCAATCAGACCAATTTAATCCCTAAACTATTCCACACTTTTAAAATTTAATTACCTAAAAATATTAAAAACTATTTAAAATAACTTGTTTAGCAGACTGTACAATAGCTATCTTAGTCACACGTAGCGCGTTCTCTATCTGGGCGTCGAACACCTCTAGAAATTTGATGAACTGTATTAAAAAATTACGTCATTGTGCTCGCCATTGTGGCTAATAGTACCGTTCAGATATTTAAAATTAATTTTTTTAAGGTGTATTCAATATCCCATGGATATCCACTAAATATATCAAAGTCTACAGGTGCGTTTTGCAAGCAGCGATTGTGGCGATGATAGCTGAGCGATAATCGCACAACGATCATAGCGGACTACTGTTAGGCGATCTTTACATACTTCCGTTTTCCTATGAGCGATACTAACAATAGACGCTAGTGAGTTTATCTCCTCGCGTGATCATAGGGGAAATATGATCGCAGTTGTAAACGATTATTCAACGCGATTATCGCCACAATCGCTACTTGCAAAATGCACCTTAAGCGCGGACGCAAACCATCGTGGATATCCACTAGATGTAATTTTTGATTTTGCTTCCTAAGTATAGATGGCGATACCACTTTCGTATCTACTCATGCTCAACCCGCCGTAATTGAGTTCGATCGAAATTTTTTTCACAATCAGACTCCATTAGAGACTGGAGTCGAGAATTTCCATTTATTGCTGAAGAGTCCTAATAAGGATGACTTTCTCCTTAGTGCCCTTATTAGGCAAAATCAAAAGCAGATTGTTGAAAATATTTTTTATCTCTATTTTCTTTTGACGTTATTCAATAATCATTGGTTACTTATGAATGTTATGAACCTCTACTAAAGATACCTATAAAATATTTTGCTAAATATCTGAATTCTATATCCTGGGATATAGACGGACATTTGGTTGGATATCCATATTGGATATCCACAAAATATATTCTGTGGATATCTCTGGGATTTCTTGTATTGTCTGGAAGATACTCATTAGATATTTTGCTGAATATCCATAGGATATCTTCTATATTCTGGATATAGACGGACATTTGGATATCCATAATAGATCCACGGAATATTTCTGATATCCTGTGGATATATTGGATATCCACAAAAGATATTCTGTGGATATCTCTGGGATTTGGTGTGTTGTCTGGGCTTCTCTTTGAAACGGAATCATTTTTCTAAAGCGGAATATATAAAAAATGTATACGATGTAATTCGCCAATATTTTCCAGGTTATACAGTAAAGTAAAATTTATTTGACTACATTACATATTACAACATATGTTTGTAGCAAGTCACAAAAACGTACATATTAAAATAACGGCTTACTTAGACATAAAATACAGAACTACACAACGAAATACCTACATACATTTAATTGTTAAGTATAGTAAAATAACTCAAATTAAGTCAGGTGAGTACATATAAAATAGAAGAGAAAAAATAGAGTAGAAGGTTTAAGAACTATGAAAGTTTATACCGATCGATATATTCCTCTACGGAATAAAAACAATGTTTTAAGATAAATGTTTTCAATTTTTTCTTAAATGAATTGAACTCCAGAAGCCCAAACTCTTTTTACAGGTATACTTGACTAACGTTAGATTTTGATCCAAGCTAAGTTGTAAAAAGAACCTCCGAGCAATTACTACTAGAGGGAGTCTTCCCCCCTTCCCCGCGCTAAATTTTGTTAGCAACATCTACTCCCCCCGAGGGGGAAAATACCTCTTCTGTAATTGGCTTATTTAATCAGCGTTGCCAAGTTTGACAGCGCCAGAAGTTTTCTGTGAGCGCCAGTTCTGACACTTTCTGACACATGTCAATTTCTTATTTGTATTTTTGGAAAATATTATTTATAACGTTGTAAAGGTTGTAAATGTATATTTAAGATTTATTATCTCTAATAATATGGTGAAAACATGCTTTATGTGTAAAAGGCCTGTTGAAAATGCTTCTTCAAGATAATATCATAAGTAAGTACAGACACAACCTAATTATCAGAGGCGGTGCATTAGGCAATCACCTTTAATTTGCAATTAAACTTTTTTATTTTCTTATCGAAAAATTAAAATTAAGAGCAAGTACACTCCAGCTACGTTCGTCTTCATCCGTCTCATAATGATTATAGTAAAGGTTAATTACTTATTTTAATATCACATCTTTGTAAAGTTTATTGTTATTTTTTTTAGGTTTCCTTTTCTTGATATGAGAAAGAAATACATGGTTCCAAAATATAGGAATTCAACAAGTGACCACCTGAATAACTTTTTATGCTAATGCATTTTTATTACAGATCTCAGGGAAGGAAAATATTAAAGAAAAATGCAATTTCGACGAAAGAAGTATAATAATCAATCCTGTTACTACTTCTACACTATATTCATCTGCTACTAAAATACTAAAACAGCAAGTAAGTAGAGAAACTTAAGTTTCTTTCAAAAAGAATGTTTAAGGAAAAAGGCATAGCTATTTTTTTGTTGACACTTTTTTTAACTAATATAAAAGACTAATTTTGTGTATTGTTTAAATGTTAATTTTTTGTACTTAATTTGTTTTAGGTTTAAACAAAATGAACTTCTAAGATATGCATGGAATATCCCAAAAGAGCTAAGGAAGGGTTTAAAATTCTTAAGAAAAGTATTCAGAGCCAAAAACATAAAATAGTCTTCCTGTCCAAAATATAAATAGGTATAAATATTTAGATATTATGAGTGATTTTTTATTCTATAAATAGAACATAATTTGCTTCTAAATCACTACCTAATGAACTATATTATATAGTACAAAACTAAAAAAGAATATCACATTATTCATGTTTTTTTTAATTTCCTTAAAAAACGTCCCAAAAAAATGTGAATATTTATTATTGGAGTTATGCTAAAACAATACTAGAACAACTTAAATAATGTGGATTTTGACTATTTTGAGTTATGCAGATCATTATGATCTAAAATAATGTTTGTCTGGTGCTATAGTCAGGTATAAAAACATTCATTTATTTAAACACAGTTGCAATATACATTTTATTTAGTTTTAAGTTAAAACCTATTAGGACATCCTAAAATTACTTTTTTCGTTTGATGTGAGATTAATTA